CAGCTGAGTCCCAACCCAAAGGAGAGACCTTTCTTTAGCTGAGATGCCCCACTCCCCAGAAATCCAATCCATATTTATTCCAGCATTCCACCTATAATGCCAACAAGTCTGGACTATTCTGCACCAGCGATGGGACCTAACTTAAAACCAAAGCCCACAGGGAGAGTATTTCACTGCTAACCTCCTTTTCTTTTAAATTCAGGGGAATCATTGCAGAGTGATGAAGCGACTCTTTCTTTATATAATCCTACATGGCAAAAAGCAAACCCATAAATGGCTTTTAGACACCAGCACAACCAAGGAAGTTTCCAAAATGCTGGAGTCCTGCAGTGTAAATGACCGATACCAAGCAGGCACTGCCTGCCTGTGGCACCAGCTGTGTCCCCTTAATGATTCAGAGAAGTTCTGCTGCCAGAAAAGAGTACCGGAAGCTGACTGGTATACTCAGTCAGCAACATATAAGAATGAGGCAAGTCATGCAGATAATCTAATACAGGACCAAAGCCCCATTTGGCTTGTTGCATCTTGTAGCACAGCTTGTAAGCAACAAGAGAGAAGGAATGCCACCCCTTTTGACTTTGGTGACCTTTTTATTATCCTGGATAAATAAGCATATCAGAGAGAACTAGTAACTTTTAGGTAACTACCTTGTCTTTCACGTTGAAGGATTCATTTAAGGATATATTGTTTTTTTCCGACGCTGTGGCAGACCAGGAGGACAAGTGTTTCTTATCCTTGGTCTCCTGGCTGAGAGGATTTATCATTTGGGAATGGAGACCTACCAAGGCACCAAGGAAAAGCCATATAGTATATCTCACAAAACCAGACAGCTTTGGAGCCAAAATGAAAAATGCCTTGAGGAATTGAATTTGCTCAACCAAAGTAAGTATACCACCAGTGCACAATTCTGAGAACAGAAAACACTGAATGGCTGGCCAGGGGGAAGGTTCAGCCTGCATCCACCAGATCAAGGCAGACTGGAGATCCCCTGATGGATGCTACAGAGACTTGCCCAAGGAAAAAAAAGAAGGCTTTGGTGACCAGCATCCCTCAGGATTTCACTCTACAATGCAAATTATTATCAAAGGTATAAAAGCCACACTGTCTCTAGATTAAGTCCCAGAAGACAGGGTAGAGGTGCACTGATAGATGGTCTATAGATTCAGTTAATCTATAACACTGGGGGCCAACTTTTTTGGCAGGCATGCCATAAGTTAAGTCCTGCACTCATATTGAGCGCCACTCTGATCTTCTGCCCCTGTCTGACCTGCTGCTCTGCTTTCTGCTTCCCTCTCCTCACCCCTATCTGCTGCTTGCTATGCAGAGGCTTTTGTGCCATGTGCAGCACTGCATGTCATAGGTTGGCCATCTCTGGTCTATAAGGTGCACCTCTGCCCTAATGTTAGACTAACAGAATTAAGTAGCTCTCTCTTTGCCTACAGTTTAAGCCTTAGAGAATGCCCTTGTCTCTCACCTAAGCTATGCAGTGGGAAACAAAACCTAAACACTGCCCAGAAGAGAATGGTATCCTAAAAATGTATCCTTTTTAGAACAGATATGCCTGTCCAGTCAAACACCCACAATTGGACAGTTTTGAAAATACAATACAGGGTTCATAGTCAAAGGGGTTAATGTAGTGATTTAAATCCTAATAAAGAATGCCACAAGTTTATTATCTTTTGAAATTTAACAGTTCTAAGTTATAGTCAAAATATTTACTGTAATTATAAAAAAGCCAGAGCTTTGACTATTGGATTTTATTATGAAAACATATGTTTCGTTGTAAAAAAAGATTAACAGTCACTCAGTAATTATCACTAACAACTAATTAGGTGAAAAATAGAGATGTCATTCATTGAAATCTAAGATAAAATCTTCTCACTGTCCCATTGCTCCAAATGGCTAGGATTCTATTATTAAAATAATGAATGTGTTAACATTTACATTTAAAATGTTATTTATAAACTAGTTGACCTTAATTATGCTAAAATAAGTAATGTTAGCTCCTTTCACTTCTTAAAGGCACATAATTTGGTCAATCTCAGACCTTTTCCAGTGTTGTATATGCTTACTGCATCAGTGAAAAAATGCTACAAAGTCACATGCTGAAACCATCATGATCTGACAGATAAATGGTGCTTCCTTGTTATTTTTTTAATCAAACAGGATTTGCTCCCCCTCCCCCCTCCCTGTTATGAGCTGAATATCTTAAAGTGTTTGCACATCAGCTTTGGTGTGCTCACCTGTGACTAAGGGCGTTTGTGCAGTTGGTTGTTCCAGTAAGACCATGTGTTGCAGGAGAGGGTTGTGTGCAGTTCCCCCATCCCTTTCCAACGTTGTAGTGCTCAAATAAGGAGTAAGGTGGGTGCCAGGAAATAAAGAGATCCTCTGTTGTAAGGTTGGAATAGCAAGTCTCTCAGCATCCTGCTGTCCTGATCCCCCCTGGAAATGCACAATTGGCAATACATATATAGCTTCTGAATGAGTCCATATAACCACAAAGCAAAAAGCTACAGTAAACATCACTTACGCTGGAAGGGCCAGTTGCAGGCAGTCCTAATGTTATGTTGGGCAAGGAAGGAGATGTGTAGAGAGGAAGCTGTGTTACTGAACCTTCGCGATTCACTAGTCTGTGAGCCAAGCTGGTCTGGAAATACAATCAAGAACACTGTCACAACAGGAAAGTGTACAGAGATTATACTGAAGCCATATTTCTGTTCTGCCTCATTCACAAACTGCTGAGTACAAGCCACATTAGGAAAGGAAATGAGACAAATAAGAAAAAGCAAGAATTTCACTTCAGATACTAAAAGATGTAGAACTTAAGGGCTAAGTCGTGTCTGCGGTCTAGCCCAAGTAATAGGGATGGGCACAAAAATTCACACGTGTAATCCTTCCTGAAGGCAACAAAGTTGTTTTGAAAGGTCTAATCCAATGGTATGGCTATAACAACCTCTGACCTAGTCACAGTCCCCCACAGGAATGGAGGACAGAAGAATCCATGAAGTGAAGTGATGATGTTTTCCTCCTGTAAGTAGTGATAAATCCCACTTGCATCAAAATGTTCTGCAGTTTCCCTTTAGAGCTAAATTCAGTCCAACACAGCAAGCAGGAGTTGCATGCAATTGTCCCCAGAATCCTCTCCTTCCCCCCCTCCCTCCCCCGCAACTTTTCATGCAGGAAAAACCTCAGTTCCTTTGTTAAAAGATGCTCCAAACTTCACTTGCCCCTTAGGCTAAGTACAGACGGTTAAAAAGCCCTAGGCTGAAACAATTGAATCTTCACAGGTTTCTCTAAACTACATAGATTGAACCAATAAGCAAGTGAACTCACACTCACTTTTGAAAACGGAAAGGCAGCCAGACCCCTGCAGTGGCCCATACCAGTAGCCATGGGGAGGGGGCAATAAGGCATGCCTCCCAGCCTACTGATCACTGCCAAAGCCTGTAGTGGGGGCTTTACTCCCCCATGCCTGCCCAGAGCTGGGCACAATTCCCCCAGTCATGCCCCCTCTTCAGCCTCTAGGCCAGCTGAAGATGGAGTGGGGGGAAAACCCATCCCCCTGGCCTAGCACCAGATCCCACCCCCTCCTCAGTCAGCCAGAGGAGTGATAGTGCTCCAGCTAGGGAACAGAGGGTTGGGTCAGACCCTGCTCTGCTGGAGCAGACAGCACAGTACAGGGCTACAAAGCATCCTGGGATACTTGGGGACTGTAAATTAGCTTGAACCTGGCAGGGATCTGGAACAGAAATTCCATAAACTAGTTTGACCTAAATCAGTTAAGCCTGATGCTACATCCAGCTAGGTTTATCTTCAATCAATTTTGGCCATTTTGAAAGCGGTTTAAGTGCACTGAACTTCTGCTCTGTTACAGGTCTAAACTAGTTTCTGATCACTTCTGTCCCTAGCCTTACAGGGCAATGCGAAAAAATATATATAAACACACTAGATCCACGCTCTCTTCAGCTGACCATAGACAATTATGAATATATTACTCCCTACTGGGCAGCAGGATCATAGGAAAGTTGGGCTAGAAGTGACCTCACGAGGTCATCTAGTTCAGCCTCCCTGCGTTAGGCAGGATCCTCCCCAACTGACACAGCCCAGCCACGCATCTGTCTACTTTGCTAGTGAACATTTTCAGAAATGGAGATTCCTTGGCTTCTCTCAGTAGCCTATTCAATGCTTGACCCTTTTCATAGTCATAAAATTCTTCCTAATCTTTACCTGCATTTCCCCTACTGCAGCTTGAGGCCATTGTTCCTAGTCCTGTCCCCTATAGCAGGTAGTTTAGACATGCTGTAGTTCCAATTATGTAGCTTTGATTTGATTTTCAGGGACAGAATGTGAAATTAACTGGGTCGATTACATTATGTGTAATGTAGAACTACTTTAAGAAGTATTTTTTTTAATTTCACAGAAACTACTGTTTATAAATACTAAAGGTTTTATTGTAAAAATTGGATTACTAGTAATTGTTAGATGGGCATAGTTGCCGAATTGTTAAAGTGTTTTGTTACCACTCCAAAGACATGAATTCAATCCTGGCTCCAGACTCATGAGAAATATTGCTTCCAGTCACTCCAGCTGTAAATGGACACCTGCTTATCTGGGTAGGAGTCAAAGGTGGCAAATGTAATGCTAGCTATGCCACTCCTGTGCATGCTGTTGGCTAAAGAAACTAGATAGCCTTGACCACACTAGCCTGGTGGGCTGTTCAGCTCCAAAGAAACTTAGACTGACTTTTTTTTTAAATTTCCTGAGGTCCTGGTGAGAAAATAATTGTTTTGATCACACTGAATTATTCAATTGAGAGTTTTCTAACTTATGAGTCTATGGTTAAAAAAAGGGTTTTGGAAACATTTCTCATTCAACTTTATCTTTGAATACTAAAGAGAATGCATTTATGAAGGTGTCCAATAGTATTTTGTTATTTCATAGATCTACTTTAGCATGGCTGTGAAAGGATTTTAAAATTATGAAGTTGAGATATTTTTATCCAAAGTACTGAGGTCAATGGAAATTTGCAATTAACTTCCATGAATGCAGAATCAGGCCGGTTTGCAATGATGAAAAGGAAAATAATTATCTTTTATTTCTCTTTAAAAACACACTAAACCGCAAAATAAAGCAAGACTTTTGCAAACCATAAACAAAACAGTATATACCTGAGACTTATTACTGAAAATTGGAATTACTGAATACAGAATCAGAAGGGCCACTCTTCTGTAAGACTAATGCTAATGATGAAGAAAGGGTAAGGGGAACACAGATAAGTAGCATGGAAAACTCTGCTGGCAAAGATGGCAAATATAATTATTACAAATGTATTATAGAACAGGTCTCACGTTTCTTTACAGGAAGAAACATTTTATTAAATAAGTTTTCATCAAGGCAAAATAGGAGAGCAATATGTTCTGATACTAAGTAGCATGTGTGTGTATGTGTTTTGACATGTACATAAACATATGTATAGCATGTATGCATGTATATTCATTTATTTGCCGAGGTAATTTTGAACATTTCCTGGCAATTTTTCTTTAGAGTGTTTTCAAAACGTTAGTGTAATACACACTAAAAATAAGATAGGTACTGTAAGTATTGAAATCTTTAACTGATCTTGTAAAAGAAACACAATAACATCTATTTACTCTTTGAACAATCAATGCCCATTTAGATGTGCCTCATTCTCCGGAGGATTTATTTGTTTTAAACAAAACTGAGTGAAAAAGGCAACAGTTTGAAACCAACTCTGAACACAATATTTAAATTCCATTATCATTATCTTAAACATACAGGATCCATGTATGAATTGTACATAAATGTCTGCAGAATTACAAAGCAATGCAGAATTCCAGCACCTACAATTTATCTGTAATCAGCCACCTTTTCTGTAGTCTTATATCAAACAAAATATCAATGAATGCCAAATAACCTTGCAAGTTGGAAAAACACTGGTAAGACTTAAAAGTAAATGTATGTATCTACTATAGAATGGGGCTGCATTCTTTGCACAATTGAGGCAAGTATTTTAAATCGTGTAACCTAGAATAAATATTGCCCTCAGTATGGGTGATGAGATGAACATGTAATTAAGTGACAAAAAAAAATTGATACATTTCTCATTTAAAACCATTGAGGAAAATGTGGGCAACTGGTTCAGCTAGTAACATGAGCTTACACAGTGCTTACGGATAGGGAAGCAGGGCACGATCACTGTTCAGAAGAAGCAAATGTTGAATGTAGGGAAGACTTACTTATACTTGTATTTAAATCATTACAGCAATGTGGTTTATTAACTATATTTTTGCTCTCACCATAACATGATAAAACAGGTGAGAAAAATTTGGGATGTAAATTCTAGACAAAAAAACAAAACAAAACCAGAACATAATTTTTACTTTTCACATAGACATCCCTCACTCAAACTTTAGGCAGACAAGGTTCTTTGGGTAAGTGTTATCTTTTACTAGACCAACTAAATACTTGAAAAAAGTGTTCTTTGCAAGTTTTTGGGCACAAACAAAAAGCCTTGCTATTTTAAAATAATTCACAGGTAACTGTTCATGTTTTCTTACCTCTACCAAGGCTATAGTGAATCAGAAATTATAATAAAACTAAGAAAAAGGTAAGGGAAATGGCAGGTCATCTTTTACACGTTGTGATCTTGTCCAGAAAACAATTTTGGTAATAGACTGGCTCTTAATTATCCAACTTTGCTGCTTTACAAGAGGCAAAAAATGGACATCACACATACTGCTGCAGTCTCACTGAAGAAAGGCGTTGGTGACTAAACAGACATTTGGAGATTATGGAACCTTAACTAAAGCCCCATTAACTTGGATGTTTTAATTACACTCCGACACATCTCGAGTCCTGTTAAACAAGGGAAATCAAACTGCTCCTCCTTCAGTAAAGACTAAACTCTGTTAGACTAGCTGTGGTTTACTGTGTCAAGTGAAGTGACCCACACTGTACTGCATGACTGATTTAGTGTTACAAAGATTTATATGATATCTTTTGTTGATTGAGGGCTTTTCTTCCCCTTAATTATGTGTTAAATCTTATTAGAAATACAAATAGAGACAAAACTGTACTAACCTAGAAAACTGAAACAGCCTAGATATATGCCTCAAAGTGAATCTTCCATTGTCCAGAATCACAAGTCAGAGAGAAACACTGGGTACATAAACAAACTTTGTGATTAAATAAACTATTTTCTTCAGAAGAGTATATGATTATAATTGCAAGAATAATAGTTGTGACATGAAGTTTAGAAATGAGAAATGCATCAACAAGGTCTGGATAATTATATAAGACCTCTCAAAAAATGAAGATGATGTGATCCATCTAGTCCAATATTTTGCTTTCGACAGTGTCCAGCACCAAATGCTTCAGAAGTAAAGTGTAAAATTGCTGCATGTTATGGAATTATTTATTAGAAGTTTATTACTAATAAATCATTTATGGAAAGTTAGTATCAAACGGGGCTTACGTGAAGCCAGGATTTAAACTGTATGAAGCTGTGAGGATGTTAAGATTTGGCATAAAACATCAAGGTACTTAAGAAAGCCATCCAATATACTTTCTTGCTCTCACACTTGTAATCTAACAGTGTTTATAGTAATCCATTTCATGGGAGTGAAATGATCCTACATTATAAAACAAAAATAAATTCCCATGATTTAAAAATATCTACATTTTGAACTGTCTTAAATTCTCTCCCAACATCTCTCCTCCTTTTATCTATCAGTTCATAATATGACTATGGAAAATTACAGTAAGCACCTATATGAACAGGCTCAGGCTAAGCACTTTATCTATATAAAACATGTTTAAATCTTCACTGGTTCTGAAAGTAGTCATCCCAAGGTCTGTTCCAAATCAAGGTCTAAGGTTTCCTGTATGACTGACACTGGTCTTGATAAACTATGAGCATGTAAAATCTTGAACATATTCAATGTAAGCATGACTGTTAAAGCCAAGGTAAAGAACAGTGCTATACCTCTGCCTGAATACTCGTGACTGATCCTGTAATTCCATTCTCAGCACTTATGTTATTGGAGCTGTTGTTTGGAGAACTGGGACCAGATCCAGGAGCGCTGTTGCATGCAGAGTCTAAAAACACATCCAAAAACAACTATCAGAAAACACCACAAAGTCTCCCTGCAAGGAAATGTAGAAAGATAACAGAATCCCTTAAGTTCCATGTTGGAAAAAAAGGAAAAACCCATAAACTCCAACAGGAAGTTTACAATTCTGGGAATATAGCAACAATAAGTATTTTTAAGCACTCCATCTAAATACTTACTTTACTTATATTTTTTCCTCCCAAGTAGTAGTAGTTTTTCTGGGTTTTTTTACAGTTTGTCAGTAACATTAAATATGATTAAAAACACAAGACCTAGAAAGCATGATTAAGCCAAATTGGAATATGACAAACTCTTTGGCTACATTTTTATGAAGTGCCTCCTCCAATCCACTTTAGCCTTTAATCTTAATCATGCCTAACCTTAATCATAACTCCTACTGTATGAGACTTTACACTTGAGCAATTAAAAAACTTTCTTGGGTTTGACATTTTCCCATGTAATCTTCTGATATATCTGGATTTATTCATATTTTAAATGGAAACATGCTTTCCTTACTGAATGCCACAGCTGACATCTAAATTTTATAACAGTGTCACAGGCTTTTCTAATGAACTTCACTGGTCACGCCCTTTGGGGATGTTATTTGTTAAGTACTAACAGTGTGTGTATATATGTGTACACTGAGAAGCCCTCAAAACACACAAGTGAACTGAAATAATTAACACGAACTAAAGTCTTTGTTTTTATTACACACATTGTGATAAACAGCGATTTCACAGCTATCAAAAAACTTTACTGTCCTCAACCACACTGGACACAACTGCCTGCAGCTGGTAAGTCTGTTGTGGTGCACAGAAGAGAGAGGGAAGGGGGGACGCAGATCAACGCCCCCACAGCGAGGGAGGGATTGGGGCTGGAAGAAGTTGCCCAGCCGGGGCAGGGGGGTGCAGGACTCGGGGTGGGGGGCTCCTGCCACTGCATGCTGCCGCTGGCCTGGGAGCTGCTCTTCTGGTGGGTCCACCGGCAGCTCTTGATGCCGGTTCAGGAAGGCATGGGAGCAGATATCTGTCCCCATATCTGTGCAGGGCAGCTAGGCCGGGCTGCACTCCAGAGAAGTGGCAGAAGGCACTGAGGGCTATGCCCTCCCACTGCTTGCACAGCCGTGGGGAGGCACAGGACGATGCTGCTGAGCTGTCTTGGACAAGTGGCACACAGTGGCAGAAGCTGCTCCAGCCTCCCCGTGCCTCCCAGACAAGCCACAGCTTCACCACGGCTGGGCGAGCAGCTGCAGGGCATGGGGGCTGGTGTGTGCACCTGGATCAGGGTGGGCTATGGGGAATTTTAAGGTGGCTGCAGCCCATCCCATGGCCCCTGCTCCGCTATGCTCTGTGGGGCAGGTGGAGCCAGTGCTGGGGCTAGCTGCCTGGAGTGCAGCCCTGGATCCACCCATCCTGCAGAGTGCAGCCCAGCAGTGGGGGCTTGCCACCTGGAGTGCAGCCCTGGCACCATCCACCCCATGGAGTACAGCCTGGTGGTGGGAGGCTGGAACTAGCCTCCTGGAGTGCAGCCCAGCCCAGCCTGCCCCGCGCAGATCTGGGGGCACACACCCACTCCCATGCCCTCCCAGACCAGCGGTGAGAGCTGCTAGAGGAGCCACCAGAAGAGCAGCTCCAAGACTGGTGCCACATAGTGGCGGGAGCCCCCCTCCCCAAGTCCCATGCCCCCCTGCCTGGGCTGGGCAAATTGTCCCAGCCCCAGCTCCAGCCTCAATCCCTCCCTCCCTCCCTGTGGGGCATTGATAT